AGAGGTGGGAGCATTGCCCGAAACAGATAGAAATGTTTCCAACTTCATTGGTTGAAGAATGACACTGAGTTTTAGCTAATCAGGTTATTTCGAATTTTGCACCGTTTTTTTTTTTGGTTGATAGCTTTAGAAATATGATTATCAATCTTTTGGGGAACGTCTGCTGTTTATAACTTTGGATGTTTGATTTGCAGAGGCACTGAAATGGTCTCACCACATGGCATACCATCGGATTTGCTGGATCGAATTTTGATAATTGTTACGAAGCCCTACAAAACCGAGGAGATCTTGGAAATCGTGATGGTACGAGCGGAAGCGGAAGGCGTGAAGCTGGACGAGCAGGCTATCGCTTATTTGAGTAAACTGGGCACAGACACATCGCTGAGATATGTGGTGCAGCTGCTCACTCCGGCCAAACTGCTCGCACAAGTGAACGGACGTGATACGGTCACGGTATGTGCATAAAGAACTTATTAATCACTGAAGAAACAGCAAATTTTTTTTTGGATTGGACGTCGGGCACTTTTTAAAAATGGGAATTTGCACTATCGCAAATTCCCATTTTCAGCTACAATGCACTATCGCGACCCTAACTGTCAGCTACAATGCACTATCGCGACCCTAACTGTTATCTTATTAAAGTAGTGTGTGCCCCTCTTGTATGTGTGTGTATGAGTGTGTAAGACGTCGCGTCCTGTATACGTATTATAATATAATAAAGCTAGAATACATTTGAAGCGAAAATAAATGTTAAACGTGGAAAAGGCTCTGGGAGCCGAAGCTCTCCAGAAGAGGAGTATTAGTTAAATAGAAGAAATAGATCGCAGGTAAAATAGAAGTGGTGGGTAGCTAAAACAATGAAGATCCTGGCGATGGGGAGGAGTGCTTTTATACCGCAGGGTACAAAGATCGAAAGTTTAATGAGGGTAGGGTGGTCAAAGTTTGAACCAGGGACAGGGGTATTGCGTAGTAGTAACGCAGTTGATCTTCAATCTTTTTTTTTTTTAACAAATACCATTAATCATTATTTGATACATTACGCGATAGCACGATTACCAAGAAATTAGCCATTACTCCTTTGTATTTTCATAAGACCAGCGCCAGTGAGATGTTTTTTCTTTTATTGAAATTCTGTTTTACTTTATAAAAGGCACAGTTTTGTTATATGTATAGTTCATCATTCCATACAGACATTTTGCATAATTATGGTTTTCAGCAATGTGCATCACATTACCATAAGAAGTTCCACATTAATGATTCACTTAGTCATTTTAGTATAAATTTTGGCATATTTTTTGATAAAATGTGAGACACATCAAATAAATACGGCTGAAAATTTGCTGTTTCAGAAGGAAGATGTTCAGCAGTGTGCCGAACTGTTCATTGATGCGAAAACTTCGGCACAGTTGGCTCTTTCGAGAAAAAGCGATGGGCAGGCAGCCCCAGATGTGTCTGCAGCTCCTGCAGCAACAAGCACGGGCGCTACTACTACTATTCAACAGCAGCAGACGAAGACAGACTCAGCAAATGATGTGGAGGATGTTCCAATGGAAACGAGCAAAGCGTAGCTGGGAAGTTTTTGCACTGTTTTGAAAAAGTTTTACTGGCTATTCGAAATTCTTGCTCCATGTTGTTGCCTTTTTTCTTCATAATTTCTTATGTTGAATGCATCTACTTTAGTGAAATAACATATTTCCTTAATTTTCTAATTTAAAT